ATAGAGCTCGCGGCAAGATACCGTGAATTAGCGATAGAGGCAGATTCGGGAAAAGCAAGGGAAAACAAGTCGCCCGAAGAGGTCGAGCAGGCAGAGAGGCTTCTCTTCTCCGAGATGTGCGAGATCTGCTTGTGGGGTAATGCCACCGATCTGTCACTTCTCACATCTCTCACCTACGAAGACATCCAGAAACTACAGGGCTCCGAGGCGCGCAAGGCGTCGCAGAAGAATATCATTGTCAACGACCTCGATGCTGCTTTCGAGGCGATGCAAAAGGCGCGGAGAGAGAAGAAGGACGGCGAGCGCCGCGTCGACATTGTCCTAGACAACTCCGGATTTGAGTTATTCGTTGACCTAATTCTCGCTGGATACTTGCTGTCTGTCGGACTGGCGACTAGCGTCGTGCTTCACCCCAAGCGCATGCCGTGGTTCGTGTCAGATGTCACGCCGAAAGATTTCTCCGATCTGCTCAACTGCATGGTCGACCCGCAGGCCTTTTACACAGCGGCTGATGACTCGGGCAAGACATTCCCCCCTCTTTCCGAGAAGGAAGTTTCCAATGTGCAATTCCTCTTTGAGCAGTGGAGCCAGTTCCACCAGGATGGTAAGCTGATCCTGCGCCCGCACGCTTTCTGGACCACCCAAGGTGGTTTCTGGCGCATGCCATCTGTGGCACCGGAGTTATTTGAAGATTTGAAGGAGAGCGAGCTTGTTCTGTTTAAGGGCGACCTGAACTATCGGAAGTTGGTCAATGATGTAAGTCCGGCGTTCTTTGCGTTTCTTTTGCTTTGGGGTTCTTGCTAACAATACCCAGGCCCAATGGGATCCCACCACTCCTTTCACAGAAGCCATCGGCCCGCTTGGCCCCAAGTCCGGGATCCGTGTTCTAGCCTTCCGTACTTGCAAGGCTGATCCCGTTGTTGGTCTCCCCGCTGGCGAGGACGAGAAGCTCCGCGCAGTGCCTGGAGGCGGCGGCTCTGAGTCTCGTAAGTGGGCTTGGGGCGGGAAATGGGCCGTCGTGTCGCTTTCTGATGGCAAGGCCTGAGAGCACACTAGGCATGACCGACGGTGTTTCATGGCGGACTTTGTATTCTGCTGCACATTGGGTGAATATGCCAATACGGAACGTTTGTAGATGAACTAGAGTAGTAAAAGGTCACAGCTGGAAGTAGACGAGTTAATACCTAATCTAGATGCAGATTGGGACCCAAGCCGCATCATTGAAATCAATCCCTGCTCTATGGACTTCATCTTGTATCCCCTCAGAATGTATAACCGACCTTCCCTAGATTACTATAATAACTGTTGTGATTAAGGCTGGTGCAGATCAGGGTCCATACCTGTCCGGGCTCAGCGTATGACTTCACATGATGGTGCGAAAAAAGATAGCTGCATGTTGTGCCTTGAAGGCTGATTGATCCCTCTATGATACGTCTATTCGATCAGAAGATGGGTTCCAAGGTTATAGCTCTATTTGGCATGGAGCACTCACGTTCCAAATCCGATAGTGCCGCTCATTACTTCGTCATCCTACCTACTCTCCATAAGAACTGTAATTGATTAACTTAAAGACCGAAAGCAGCCAAGATATGGTGGAAAAAAAGGAAGCTCCGAAAGAAATTGATAAAATCTTCGATCCAGTGCGTGGTGAATGTGAACTATATGTTTGATAACACCTGAAAGTTTGTAACCAAGATGCTCAGCTTGTGGCGGAGACTACGTCGTGTAGCATCCCTAAAAGCTCCCGATCAGAACACCGCAATCGAAAATTCGCACATATGGGATACACTTCAGTTACTATACCTGGCGACCCTCGAGCAAGGACAAGGGCTAAAGCAAAATCGTCCTGTTCATGTAGTCTGGATGTGTTGTTCTCTCATACGCGGAAAAACAGTGCTTGGGGGAATTTTCAGGCTTCGGTGGCAGATCGAGACTGGAGATGACGGGATAAGCTAGGCGTCTTGATATAGTCAACCACTTTAAGAGTAACATCCATAGTACAAAGAGAGCCCGCCCTGCCTGCACATTCCATTAGGTCCGAGACGGTAACACAGCGAGTGAGTTAGTATTTCCGACATCCCGAACCGCGATCCCTGTTCTGAAGGGTAAGTCCATACAGAAGAGACCGAGATCTAGACATCATTAGCCGAAAACATTGGCCGGAGATCCACTAAAAGGGCTAGACAGGGATCTCGGGGGCTCGGTCGAGATGATATGTAACTTCAAGTGGGGGCCGAGCACGTCGAAGATTCGCAGCCAATAGGATCGCGCCTACACTTTCGGAGTGGCTTACCGACACAAATGGAGCTCGGGAAGATCGATGCTCCTTTTAATTTAGCTTATTCTTGAAGACAAAGAAATGAGTCCCTTTCGGCTGCAACACCGAGAAACGGATATAAAGATGTAGTGATGGAGGAAATGCGCAGTATATTTTATGTTGAACACAAGCTAGAAAGTGTCATAGAAACTTGTTCTCACTCTATTACCAACCCGGAGCTGAAAGGTACTTATTGAAGCGTCTTAAATTTTGATTCAAGACCATGTCAGCGTTCAGCGTTCGCGATGCGCCGTTCGGCCAAATCTGTCGATTAGTTCTCGGTCCCCGGGTCTTCCTTTACCCCGATGAGAAGGCTGGATTCCAGTATCAAGCGCCGGAAGAAACACCAGTTGAAGTACCTCAAGCGAACAGCAGCTCTACAGACACGGATGCCGATGTGGAGAAGGCCGAACCTGTGTCGTCGCCAGGCCAGTCAAAGTCTAATCACCAGATTGTCGGTTGGTATAGCGAAACCGATCCTGAAAACCCGCAGACGTGGTCAGTCGCAAAAAAGACTGTTACTTTTTCGCAGATCTGCCTTCTTACCTTTTCCGGTCAGTTGACGAGGGATTTCGTAAGATTTTGTTTTTATATTGACTAGATATAGTATACTGTGGATCCGCAATCATCACTCCAGCTCAGCCAACCTTCGTGGAGGTATTCGGAGTGAACGTTCAAGAAGCGTCTTTGGCACTCTCGATGTATGTTTTAGGATATGTAAGTATACCCCCGTCCTCGGCAGATATTTTCAAACTTATACGTGTGTTCCTAGGGTATTGGGCCATTATTTTTCAGCCCTTTGTCGGAAATACCGGCAGTTGGACGGAATATCCCGTACTTCGTTTCGTTTACGCTCTTCATAGTTATCACCGCCGTGACCTCTCGCGTGTCGAACTTCGCAGGATTGATTGTCTTGCGATTGATTCAGGGACTATTGGGTGGCCCGGTGCTGGCAACGGGAGGCGCCTCGGCTGCTGATATCCTTTCTTTCCCAAAAATACCTTATGGTCTTACTTTCTGGGGATGTGCAACTCTAGCAGGACCCGCCTTAGGTCCGCTTTTATCTGGGTTCTCAGTGCCCCTGAAATCCTGGAGGTGGTCTATGTATGAGCTTCTTATTCTCTGTGGCTTTACGTGGGTTCTTCTATTCTTTTTCCTGCCAGAAACCAATACCGATTTCATTCTCTTGAAACGGGCCAAACGCCTACGCAAATCCACCGGGAACGAGAATCTTCGATCGGATTCAGAGATTAAGCAAGGCAATATTCACTTCCTGTCGCTTCTCGGTGGGTATTTGACTACACCTTTCTTGGTTACCTTGAAAGATCCGTCGATTGCCTTTATTAATGTCTACACCGGTCTTATATACGGTATTTTTGTAAGTCGCGGGACAGCAAGAGTATCGGGATTGATTGAAGAGTGAACTAACAAATGGCGCTTAGTACTCATACTTTGAATCATTCCCGATCGTTTACACCCAGATTCACGGCTTCTCAATGGGTATCACGGGAGTCATCTTTCTGTGCATTGTTGTCGCCTGCTTCTTCGGGGCCGGCACATATTTGGCGCTTGTCAAGTTCCACTATGAGCCGTACACTTACCAGAATGGAGTCGGCTCTCCTGAACATCGCCTTCTTCCTGCCGTTTTTGCGGCCTTGATTGCGCCGTGTGGCATCCTTATTTTCGCCTGGACATCTCGTGATTGGATTAATTGGGTTGTTCCCACGATTGGAATTGTTCTCTACATGTCGTGTGTCTTTGTAGTAGGTGAACTGATATGCTGTGAGAGTGTCCGTGTGCTGAAGGTTTTTCCAGATTACGATGTGTATTTTCATCTATCTTCCAATCTCATATCCTCGCTATGCTGCGAGTTTGTTTGCTGCAAACTGTGAGTTGGAAGCCTTGTCCTGGGTTATCAAACAGGCCTTGTCTAACAACTTTCCTAGCATTCCTACGCAGCGCAGTGGCTTGTGCTGCTATTCACTTCGCGCAACCATTATTCGCCAATCTAGGTATTGGCAAGGGATGTAGCGTCCTCGCTGGCTTAACGTGGGCCTGCTTCTTCGGAATTTTGGTTCTTTGGAAGTATGGTGACAAGCTGAGAGCTAGGAGTACATTCGCGCAAGTTTATTAAAGGCTGCACAGTATCAGAGAATGCGTGTTTTGGTATGCAAGACCATGGCGGCTTGAAACCGACGATTCTGAGATTCGAGAAGATTAAAGCCTTTCAAATGTGGTTAGATCTAGTATCATATTTAATAGATAGTAATAAAAAAATTGGGGAGGAAAGTCGACTTGCCTCGTATAACATCCTTGACTGCGATGTTTCCAGACTGTTGTGAATTATAGGGAAGGAGGGCGAATTGAGGCTGTATCGCACGCTACTAAGGAACGGATTTAACATCGCCGCAACATCCCAGGGTTGAACTACTCAGTCCCAATATGCTGATTGGCAGAGAATTCTAGAAACTTCAAGGGAAGGATACGAACAACTATGCGAACAAGTCATGGGGTTCGAATGTAGGCTCCTCTCTTCTAAGACCTTGCTGATCAGAACAACACATCAGGCTGCGCAGCAAACGCAATGGTAAATTAAACGACTTCTTCTCCCATGGAAACACAGAATATTCTCATTACATCTAATTTGGTCTAGATACCGACTGGCATACTACCACCACTCCACTCACACATAGTTACTAATAAACTCATACCCCTGAATCGCCGCCTTCCAGCCCTCTGACTCGGGATTACTGCTAAGATCGCAAATATGCGGAGCCCCCTCAACCAAAGCCAAACCAGCAGGGACTCCTACGTCCAGAAGTGCATCATACGTACCTTGAGACTGTTGCCAAGGGATCAAATCATCATTCGTTCCATGAATGAAGAATGTGGGCGTACGATATTTGCCCCGCAAGATCTGGGCGCGTGGACTGACTCGGACAATTTCATCTAAAGAAGGCTCCGGGAGAGCGTCCCAGTCGCGGATGTTATAGCCTGCGCTGTTCTTTTTGCTGGGGAGGCCGCCGATGATGATGGGGAGTGTTTGAGCTTTCCAGTTGATGTGCAGAACGATGCGACATCGAGGGTCGGTGCGGATGCGGGGGTCCGATAGTGGTTCCCAGGCACCGACGACACCGTAGTTGGTGATCTGCTCGGTTGGTTAAGTCAGGAAATCGGGTTTGTCTGGAGTGGGGAAACTTACGGGCTGATCTTGGATTGCTTCTAACAGATCGTATTTCTCTCTCCGATCTTCTGCGCCGATAGGCTGGATGGGATTTCTCCACCCTATTGAGAGGTTAGATCCTGCTTCAAAGGGGATGCAATTTTAGCTTACACTCATCTTCATAGTTCGTCGGGCAGTAAAATGCCAAGATTGCCTCTGGTGGCCTCAACCCCCTTTGCGGAGCTGTCCAGGCCAATGACATTGCCAATTGTCCCCCAGACGACCATCCCACGACGACAACTCTCTCACCATCAATCCGGACCCCCTCATTTGGGAGTGTGATATACGGCAGTTTGTTTCTCGCCCAATCAAGTGCATCGCAAATGTCGACCATAGGTCCATCGACAAGTCTGACTTCGGGACAGAGCCGATGATCCAAGCTCACCGGGAGAAACCCCTTATCTAGCAAGAGACGAGTCTGAGCTGGTCGAATGTCTTTGCGGGAGAAGATGATATGGCTACCTCCGTGTATCATCAGGGCTGTGCAGTAGTCAGCGTACGCCTGAAAAGTCAGAGCAATCAGGTGTATATTTACCGACTGGCAGTTTTTTGTCTGTTGAAACGGGGTTAAGGGGGTAGTACACATCAGCATGGATCTTCGTGTCACCAATAGTCTTGTATACAACTGTTTCAACAGCTGCCTTCACCGTAGGCTTTTTGGTCTCGACGGGGGGTGATTTGAAAGCAGCAATCACGCGGACGGTCTTTGACTCGAGCGATTCTCCATCCGTCCACAGAACTTCCTTAAACCCAGCTGCCTTCATCTCCTTTTCCCAATGTTTCTCATTCACCAAAGCATGCGTGCGGTTATCTTCAAATAGCCACCATCCCTCGAACAATCCAACAACAATATCAAGCCAGAACATGTTTCGTGTGATCTCAACAAGCGCAACGGCACCATCCTCGCGGACCATTTTGTTAAGGGTCACTAGGGATTGGTTCAAGCTCCTTGTTGCATGAACACAATTCGTAGCAATGATCATATGGAAAGTATTCTCATATTCACGTTTTGGGGCTTTCTCGATATCCAAAACCTCGAAGGACATTTCCCTGGCATCCTTGAACTTCTTCTTCGCAGCTGAAACTAGCGACATTGAGATGTCAGTGAAGACATACTCGAAGGGAATCCCGTGACTTCTAAGGTACTTGATGATGTGCTTCGTCGTACCCCCAGTTCCGGCCCCAATCTCAAGAATTCGAAATTTCCCACCTCCAGTCGAGTTGGAGAAAGCGGTTTTGAGAAACTCTCCTAGGAGTAATGTTGGGATTTGAAGAAGAGGCCATTTCTCGTACATATCCTCCAGAAGTAGCTTGTTCGCTCTGTCTCCGAATATCAACTGAAGACCATCGATATCCCCACTGAGACATTCAGCGAGTTTTGCTCCAATAACCTTCACAAGCTGCGTCACGACCTTGTGTTGCGGCCAGAGGTCGACCGTCTGCTGATATATGTCTTGAGCGGGTGTTAGATTGACCGATACATCTGTTCGAACGATGCCATCTTCCGTAGCGCGGATCAATTCTCCATCCTCAAGCACACGGTGATACTGAAGCACTAGCTTCTTGTGTCTATGCAGAGCAGGCACCACAGGTACAGCATCACCAGGGCTCAGTCTCGCGAGATCACACCCGAGCTTCGCGAATGCTTCAACCACATATGCAAGAACGAGCCGTCTCTGATGCGGGTACGCTTCAGTCCAAAAATTGGCAGCCAATGCCCCCTCCGCGAGTTGATCGTACGCGAATTGAATATCTTTAAATGAATCACGGGCGGAATTGATGGATGGAATCCTCCTTTCACACTCTTCAGATTTAAGAATCCGTTCTGCCTCAGTTGGAGCCAGCTCTTCGTCGATCAACTCTGCTGGGGTAGCCACCGTGGAGCAATCTGTAGACGTACCGACTAGGGCCCATTCTTCGCCGCTGGATTCCTCGGGGCTCTCATCGACGCCGTTGAACTTTGAATCAACATAGCCCACGAGGCTCTTGAGGTCTGGGCAGAACAGGAAGCTAGCCAGGTCAATTGTAAGACCAAGAGTCGCTCGAATGTCGTTCATGACTTCTGTAGCCATGAGAGAGTCGATTCCAAGATCTTCCAGAGACGATTCATCTTTCATATCCTCCAAAGGTACGTCCGTAACACTGTGCAAGATCTGGAAGAGTTCTGCTCGCTTACTAGGCTGCTTCTTGGCAGCCTTGGAAGGCTTGGATGACGGGGAGACTTCGATCGGGAGCTCCAGTTCCTTAGCCAAAATTGTGTCCGACTTCTGATAACTGGCAGGCTTACTAGATGTTTCAGCAGCCGCGGATCTGTTCACGCCCTTCAACATCCTCATTAACAATGCCTGCGACATCTTCGAAAACCGGAACCCAAAAGCTGCCATAACCATCTGCTTGCTCTTTGCCTCAAAGATATACACATCAGCAGAGGCATCACTCTCCCCTCCTTGACTCATATTAGAATAGACGATCCACTCCTTCGCATCCGGATCGAAGTTCCCCCCGATCTCAATATGCGAGATCTTCGAACACACTAGGACATCCTCTAGACTGTCATTGTTGAAGTAGTTCACCAGGAATCCAGCGAATTGCATAAAGCTGTCTGTCATGGGGGTATCGCAGACGCGCTGGTCAACTGGATCGCTCGGGTCGACGTCGATCGTCACCTTCCCAGCGGCTTCCAGACGCAGACACGCGACTTTCTTGATTCCGCGGAAGTTTTCGGCGTAGTGCACGATGTGGTTGAAAGCGCGGTAGATATGTTTTCCTTCCATTGTTTCGGCATCCGGATGATTCATTATCGCCTCGCAGCGGCCAATCCCGGTGAGAGTTTCGAGGCGTTTGAACAACTGGGCAGCTTTGGAGTCATCACGCCTTTGGAGATACACCCGTCCAGTGGATGACTCAAATGGTGCACTGACACGGCCAGTCTGACTCGGAGGTAGTTGAGTAGTAACCGAGAATGACCAAGAAGGTTGCGGATCATCCGTTCGTTGCAAAGTCAGAAGGAGCTCCTTATTCGTGTCAAGGCCAATCGGTGAATTCATTACGAGGTCCTGCACAGCTGGTACCCAAGTAGTGACTGAATTATCTGACTGGAGAAACAACGCAGCACGAGAAACGACCTCGAAGTACAATGAGGCTGGTGCTAGAGACTGACCTCCCATAACGTGACCCTTTAGCATGGACTGGAACCGATCGCTCTGAGGCGCGATACGAAATACCGCACTGATCTTGTTGTCGTCGTTAAATCGCAAGAAGTTAAGGAGCTCATAAGTCACAGGTGTACGCTCAGACCTAGGCTCTGACACTATTCCTTTCTCGCCTCTCCCAGTGATGAACCCTAGCCAGTGGCGAGTCTTCCCAAACTGATATGATGGAAGGCGAAGAAATTGGTGTGATAGCTTTTGAGAGCGATGGAAAAGCCAGTACTGTGCGGCATAACCTGCCTTCCATAGGTCAACGGTGGTATCCGCCAGTGAAGTCAGCGCATTAGCTGTCATGAGCTGAGGGGATAAGAACAAATGTTCGTGGCTTTCTGCCACACAGCCCTTGGCAAGCTGAATCACGGACGACCCTCTCCCAACCTCGAGGTATGTACTCTTAGGGAACTTCTTTTCAAGCCTCTCAATTGCCTGCTGAAAGAAGACCGAGCGTCTTGTATGACTTGCCAGTAACCGGGGATCGGGACTCTCCGCACTTTCAGTGCAGAGCTCAAGATGTATGCTAGGTTGCTGCCAGTTTAATTCTCTGGATAGAGCCGTAAGATGCGGTAGCAAGGGCTCTGTAAATCTTGAGTGAAACCCATTCGTGACCTGAAGTCTTTTTGTACGAATCGAGCCTCCTCCAAAGGACGGGTTCTCTGAGAGGAAGGTCTCTAGGGTGTCGATTTCCTTGGCAGAGCCAACGACGACATGGCTGTTTGGTCCATTATAGCAGGCAATCTCGACGTTCCCGTGGACTGAACTGAGAAGTTTGAAAACGGTTTGCTTATCCGTTTGGAGGAAGAGCATGGATCCTGGTTCGGGACCCCACTGTTTCGCCATGATTGACGCCCTTCCACATATAAGTTTGAGAGCATCGGCGAGCGATAGCACACCTGAGACGCAAAGGGCTGTGAGTTGGCCGAAACTGTGGCCAACGACTGCATTTACCTTGAGCCCGCTGTCAGTCCAAGCTTTTGAAGAAGCATATTGGATGGCAAACAGCGCAGAGTGCAGAGTGGTCAGGTTCCCAACTGGATTCTTTGAGAATATTGCAGGGTATATGCTCTCAAAGCCAGAAGAGATCAAGATCTCGTTACAAGCGTCAAGGTAGTATCGAAGCAACGTTGAAGACTGGTAGAGTCGTTCAGACAGCCCGATTGACTCGCTTTCCTGGCCCCCAAAAACAAGGACTATAGGTTTCGGACCCGGTAGGACCTCTGTCACCGTGAGAGTAGCCAGCTTGTCCTTGAGCTCGCGGATGCTGGCGACACTCGTCGAAATGAAATGCGAGAGCGAGTGGTTTGCTCTATCAGCTATATTGAACACCACATCAGAGATCTGGGCCTCAGATCCAAGCGTTCCCAGCCAAGTATAAAGTTTCTCTGAGTACGCAAGAGCACTACTCGAAGAGCCCGCAGAAATAAACACAGGATATCTCGTTCCAATCGGGGAATGACCGAGATCGTCAATCGGGTTAATCATAGAGGATGGCCCCTGACGAACCATAACAGCTGCATTACTTCCAGCAGCACCGTAACTGTTTACACAAGCCAGGAAGAATGGGGCATCCCAAGGCAGCAAACTCCGCGGGATTTCCATTCGCGCGTTTGAAAATGAGGCAATTTTCGGATTTAGCTGCCTGTGGCTGGCTTGCTGAGGGATCTTTCCATGCTCCATCATAAGTAGGACTTTGACGAGCCCGGCAATACCGGCTGTAGCTTCAGTGTGCCCAATATTACCCTTGATAGAGCCGAAGCGGAGTATGCTATCTCTTGAAGCGCCGCCGAATGCTTCAGCAATGCTGTTACACTCAACTGGGTCGCCCACGCCGGTGCCTGTTTCCAAATCAGCAAATGCGTGACTGAAGTGTGAGCACCACATTAGAGACTCTAGAGTTACATACCAGTTCCGTGAGCCTCAACGTACGTCACTGAGTGTGGGTGAACCCCAGCCTGGCTCATGACATTCTGATAAAGCTTAACCTGCGATCCCGAGTGAGGCACGGTAATGTGGCTCAAATTCAGATTCTGGTTCGCTGCAGAGCCCACAATGACGCCGAAGATATGATCCTTCTCCTGCAACGCAGCATCCAGCGGCTTAAGAACAATCGCACTAACCCCCTCTCCACGACAGTACCCATCTGCCTCAGAATCAAAAGGCTTGCACTGTCCACTAGGACTAAGGAACCCGGCGGCTTTGAGGTTCCGATAATCGAATGGACTGGTGATCACATTCGTGCCCCCTGCCACGGCCTGGGAGCACTCACCAGACCATATTGCTCTGCAGGCGGTGTTAATCGCGACGAGGGAGGATGAGCACGCCGTGTCGATTGTTAGGGAAGGTCCAGTCCAGCCGAAGAAATGACTAACACAGCCGCTGATAAAGCAGCGTGAAGTTCCGACGGTGGCGTAGGCTGTTGTAGGCTGGGAAGACATGTTGTCGTAGTAGTTGTTCATGACAGCACCGATGTAGCATCCGTAGTCATCCAGCTCTGACTTGACGCCGGCGCGGAAGTATCCTGCGGACTCTAGGGCTTCGTAGACAACCTCGAGCAGGATCCGTTGCTGAGGATCCCAGGCGATGGCCTCTCGCTGAGACTTCTTGAAGAATTTATGATCGAAGGCATCAGGGTCGCGAAGGAAATTGCCCCACCATTTTGTATTCGCGTACTCGCCTGTTGTAGGTAACTGTATTCTTTCAACGGGGGCTGGTTCGGCCATTGATTTGCCAGATAGCAGCAGTTCCCAAAGTTCATCTAACGAATCTGCTCCGGGGAATCTGCCAGACATACCGACAATAGCAATGGAATTGGGAGGATATTCAGAGGGCACCGAGTCTTGCGCATCTGAAACTCTGGTTCCTGGCTTGGTTGTCCCGTTTATCCTTGTCCCATTATGAAATCCGTTGAGATTTGACACAGTCGACTTATTTAGATCCAAGATATACAGACCCGCACCGCTGACAAGCGAAGCCGGAATATGACTCCCGAATCCTGCAAACGCAACTGTCTTGTGACCCTCTTCCAGCTGAGCAACTGCTCCCTGCACCGTTTTGAACCACGCAGCCGGCTTCAGCAAAGTATTCTCGAGGGCGTGTTGGAGGAGGGATCCGCTGGTGATGATTTCACCGTCCACGGTAGAACGGAGTGGAGCTTGCAGCTTGTCAACACTGGGCAACTGCAGATCTGGATGGTTCACGGCAAAATTCTTGATCTTTTCCGCAGCAGCGGTATGGATGTCCGAGTGAAAGGCTCCTTGTACATTGACAGTGGTCACATGGGAGCTATGTGCTCGCAGCTGTTCAGTCAGGCTGGGTATATCAGAAAGACTGGCAGTGACAGTAATGGACTTGGCCTCGATGGTGCATGATGTATACGCCTGTCCATTAAGTTAGCTTTAACAGCTTAGCAAGAAAGGCAATGGAAATACCTTTGGAAAAGTGCTGACAATATTAGAGATATCTTGTTCATGAACTTCATCTCCCTTCCAGCGAACGGCAATACAGCCTACCTTTGTCCCTTGGGTACCAAATTGGTTATTGTCGACATAGGCACCGATAATGACAGCTAGATGAAAGACTGAGGCAGCTGTGAAGGCAATTTCAGCTTCGGTCTCGGAGGTAGCCACTGCAATTGCGCTGAGGAATCCAACACAGAATCCCAGGATACCACCGGTTTGAACGCCCTCGAGGAGGACGCGATGAGGGCTGACCACATTCAGATGCTTCAAGTAGCGGAAATACTGAGCGATCTCGAGAAGAACGGTAACCGGAAGACGAAATGTGTTGAAGTTGTAACTGGGCAAAGGGCCGTCTCCTACAACCCACTCCTGGAGCTCAGCGAGCAGCTTGGCCCCTGGAATATGGTTTAGGGTGGGGTCGAAGTTGGCAAGGGGTCTCCACAATTCGGCTCCGTGCTTCGCGGCATTAAACACATAGGATAGTTGAGGATTCTGGTTAAGCTCCTGCCTCAATTGGTCGATGGAATCTCGAGACGAGAGCTCTGTCTGAGGCCCGAAGACTATGAGCGAAGGTTCAGACATGGTAGGTGCCATTTAAAAAGGGCTGAGAGCTCTTCAACTGTAGGAGGTTAAAATAGCCTGCACGTTGTTGGAAATTAGAGGCTGTATTCAGGAGAGAAAGTGACTCGCATCCAGATTCAGTGGCAATGATATATTTCCTAAAGTTCGGTGGGGAACGTCTCTACTTATAGATAATCCGCCAATCTCAGCTGGGAATATTGATCGATTCGAGGGTGGTTCCTTTGGAACGAAACCAAAATCGAGACTCCCCTCCCATATGTCCAAAATTAACGCTTCTTGCGAAAACACACTCTACAATCTTACACCTGGGCCCTGCTCGTTCAGGGGTGACAATCCCGATTACTTGGCTGCCTACTAGACTAACTGATCATAGCATAGCTACCTTACTCCGAGCCGATACGAAGCCTCGTTTTGGTCATACACACTGCGAGAGAGCACGCTACACCCTCGGCGGCACGCCCGACTAGCTCGGGCCATTCCCCGGCTGTGTTGGTAAATGAACTCGGTTCGAGGCCGAGTGCGCTAAAAGCTAAGCCCCGTTGTACCAATCCTTGCTGGAATCTGACCTTTCTAGTGGAAGCGCTGGCTCGGACGTATATGCACTTCTGCGGAGTTAAGGCGTATTGCACGTAGTGGTAGATTCAATTGGGATACTAGGGGTTAGGTTAGTAAGATATATTCATCCCCCTCCCCCTATCATCTACTATCTTGTGATGCTTATTTGGAATAACACGACTTGCCCATTCTATTGTTAGGGTTCAGACTTCGCCCACCCCCCTTTAACGTTGTCTGTTACTTATATCGGTCTCGAGCATGCTGGAACATAGTGTTCTAGCAGATTTGGTCTTCTGGCTTGTTTTGTTATATATGTCCCGGGGCATGTCCTGTAACATGTATCCAATTGCTGGCCAGCTCTGGGGCAGCTCGGGATCTTTGGTACTTGGAGAGCTTGTTTTGCGAAAGTACGCCCGAGATTGATTTTATTTTTCCGCATGATCTTCCTGTAAGCTTTCATTGCCACATGGGGAATCTTGCTGGTACTGATAACCAAGTCGGCCAAGCCAATTCGCAGAAAATCATAATGTCTGATATATCATGAGCTCTCCGTACTAATCACATCCATACCCCACCCCCCCCCCCCCCGGACACCAGAAAATGCACTCACACCCAGACTGCTGTACCATAATCATAGATCATCTCCCTTTATTCTATTAACCCCACTGCCTATAAGGCCTACCTATCCATGTACCGGTGTCAATTCCCTAGCAGCCCCAAATCAAAACCCCTCTCAAACTTTGTCTTCTCCACAAAAGCTGCGCATGCCTGAATTTTGGAGTCATACTCCCCAGTCGTAGGCTTACACATCACCATGACGTTGCACAGCAGTTCGAGGTTCTGTCGTATTTCGCGCGTCGATGAGAATGCTTTATAACTCATGTCTTGTGGATTTTGCAGGACATCGAGCTGGATTTCTGCGGCTAAGGCTAGCGGCCGCATCATGAAGAGCGACATTTCTTTGTAGGTGGGAATCTTTAACAAAGTAGAACGCATGTCAGTGAACGGTGTCTCTGGTTGAGATGGTTTGCTGTAATGTTCAAGAATGGGAATATGGTAAATGGTATGAGAAGAAACTGGGAAACACTTACTTGTTTTGCATCAGTAACATCAGCCTGAAGAAGCAAGTCGCACATAGCATTCGTGACAGCGACACACGAAGTGCGATATTCTTTAGCGATAGGACCTAGAAACTCAGCCTTCTGAGATCCAATAATAGCCGTCTTGAGCCAGTCTATTCGAGCGCCTATGATGATGATACAAGTGAGCACGCGAAGTTCATTATCTGGCCCGTCGAGATACTCCTGTTTTGAGGAGGACTTTAACATGATCGTAATCTCCCTCCCGATCTTCTCGTGGATAAGGCAAAAATTATAGTCAGATCCGTTGTCCAGTACGTATTTCTTGGTCGATTGGCGGTGGCGGTCTCCCTCAACGACAAGTTTCATGGTGAAGATAAAAAGGGAAAAGGCGGAAAGTTCCTTCGCTATAGTGCCCGTAATTTCTTCACAGAGATAGATGTGCTGGCTTGGATCGGAGTCTATTGATGGATTGAGAACTGGCATTGCGGTGCCGATCTAGTTTGGAGTTAGTCACAAAAGAAAGCGGTAAGTCGTAACCAATATAAGCTTACCCCACTGTCTTTGACTGGTATACAGCATGAAAAACTTGCAGCCGCATTGCAATGCATCGCAAATGCAATCCAGAACGTCCGCCGTAGCATCTGAATATATCCCGGGGTATGTGTTTTTGCCAGCAGCATCTGAGAGCTATCTCGTTCGTCTCCTGCTGAGATCCGATCGAGCACGTCATATCCCAGCAAGCTTAGCAACTGCATAGCACGCGCTATGGTTAGAAGCCCTTTTGGCCCGCTGATATGGGTAAATTCAAACCTCGCAATAAGAAGCAAAGCTTGAATAGTCTCAAGGTTTAAGAAAGAAGAGTTATCGGCTAGACTTTCGGCTCGTTCCAGATGGAACCGGGCTGCTGTGTACGACTCCATGGCTAGGGCTGATTCTCCACAGGCAATGGAGCTAGATAGAGCTGTGGTATATTTTAGGGCCATGCATTGGTGCGTCTCCATTGGGAGGACGGATTGCAGAAACTCCTGTTGGTCTATTAACATCATGTGTTTCTGCACAATATCGAAGTACGGCTGGTATCTGCATGCCGAATAATCAGACAGGATATTCATGTTTTTGGTATAGTGGGGTATGTACTGCTGCTCCAGTCCACTAAAGCGCGTAGGTTGCTCGAACAGAGGGTTGAATGCGGGGCCTGGGGGATTGTCTTTCAGGCTGGTTATATTCAAATCTAAATCTGAAGGAGTCCCATCTGTACCAGAGCTGTTTATGATATCGATCATATCGAGTGGCTGATCGTACCTGCTAAAGAGGCTATCAGCACAAGATATAGCTCTTTGGAGTGGATCATAGAAGAGCGTACCTGAGGTCAAACTCTGGGAATACCATATCTGAGTAGTCCATATTATCGCCTTGTGACAGTAGGTCATACACAAACTGTGAATTCTGCGACATATGGTTTGGGGGTAAGGCGGAATTCGGCTTCATAGACTCAGTCGTGAATTGTAGGCCCTGTTCCTGGAGCGTCGTTTCCGTTTGTACTGCTATTGTAAGCACAAAGCCAAAAAAAAGGCCGACACCGAGAAATTCAGTAACAAGCCAGCATCTGGAGAATACTTACACAGACGGGAGTGAAGCAGATTCAACGCCGACTTGATCTCGTCGTCGTCGATCTTGTCTGAGGGATAGACGCACGTCTGGCCCGATTTGCGACAGCGATGGCATTGCGGCTTTTCCCGGTCGCAGCGCACCTTGCGCTCACGGCATAAGTTGCAGGTTGCTCGCTTTGGCTGAGACGAGGTCACTTGCGTTTGCGATAGAGGCTTTCTGGAGGGACCCAGAGACGCCATCGTGTGCATTGCGTTCTGCCTGGAGGTAATCGGTGGGACTCTGCTTATGTATATACACGGAGCTCAATAGTTATGACCATGTGTTTTGCTTTGTTTGTTCCCCCTCCCAAGCTTTGTACATTAAGCAGCAGGAGGCTTCGACTTGAGGCCAGATGGTGTGAAGCGGGGTTGTGATGGTAGGTATTACGAAGGCGACTACGTGTCGAACTGGGATATGGCCCCCTAGGCCTTAAACGGGAGCCTTAGTTTTTGTTATGGTCTAGTGGTAAAAATGGCTCTATTTTTTTCCCACAGTTATGAGCCCGGTACGCATTTCAATGCTGAGAATAATAGTCGTCGGTTCGAGACTCGGAGTAAATAATGCTAAGGTTCCCTTACCCTTGTACGATCATATAATTCGCAACCCGAGGAAAAATAGGGAGACGGAAGAGCCCGGAGCGTTGAGACGACTAAAAAAGGAGTGGCCCGACGAATCCAATACCACAATAAGATGATAGTAAATAGGCACAAAAAGCAGGGAATCCCAACTTTTCGGCCTCCCCTTGGGGGTGTGTCGAACTGGGATATGGCCCCTCTTGGCCTTAAGCAGGAACCTTGGTTTTTGTTATGGTCTAGTGGTAAAAATGGCTGTATTTTTTCTCACACTACGGATGTAGAGATCACTGGTAACCTGTCAAATGCGTTGAGAACGGAAGAAACTATAAGCATAAAGACTAATCACCCAGCCACCTAAAAGCTCGATGCACCCCGAGCTAGCCCTAAAAGCTTACAGCGACCTGGCCGCCTACTGATCCAATAGCTGCTCCAAAGATTGTGCTAAGTCCTCTTGGCTTTCACATGATTTTTAGATAGATAGTACGGAATGCCCAATCGGATCTTGTCGACCTCAGATGCCTGCAATTGAGATTTTATTAGCTCGAGGGCTCGTGTCAATGTTGGTCTGACATGCTGCCTCCCCGGCGTCGCAGATCTACCATACTGGCCAGGAGAAGGTGAGCATCCAGGTCCTGTAAAACTAGTACTAATCGAGTGAACCCGTATCTATTAGCGTGTTAAAGGGTATCGTATTTTGAAAATTACCACTGGTTATATAGAGTAGTAAGAAAGAAGCTGAAACTTAAAACAGGTATTCTATCTTACAATGACTACGCGAAAATGTGAACACCCAAGGCCCCCTGGGGGCCAAAAGGACTCTACTAATAAATGGCACTAGTCCTAATTAGGAACACCTTATACCGGTCCGCCGTACCATCAGTGGGACATTCCGGGGTAGACGGGCAGATATCGGACCCTGTTTTCGCCTACCGGGGTTAGATATCGGACCCTATTTTCGCCTACCGGTGTTAGATATCAGACCATGTTTTCGTCTACCGGGGTTAGATATCGGACCCTGTTTTCGCCTACCGGGGTTAGTTCTGGGATCAAATTTCCCCAACTTGCGTATTGACGGGAGACCTACGTCGGAAATTAATCCTTTGGCTATCATATGTACCCAACTTCCAAGCTATTCACTAACGTAACTTAGGAAAGTCGCGTATATATATTGCTACTATTTTAGTACGTGTCAGATAATGTGTCCTGGCCCTCCAGTGGCACCATTCTGGATGTGGAATAGGGATGCGTTTGGTAGGTCGGTTTTAGAAGATATGAACGCTTTAGGCACGGCCACAAGAAAAGTCCTTAGATAGGCCAGTAGATACAGGTAGCTAGACCAAGAAAAGGCAATACATAGCTTGCAGCACACGCAAGTCTGTCCATACTGAGGCTGTGTCTGACATTATAGATATTGTATCAGCTAGGAAGAGTGTCGTTGACACCATTTTTAGCTGAGCCGGAAAGTTCGACGAGTTGGCATCCATTCCACCACCCTTGCCCATACAGTCCGAATCATTCCAGGGACCCTGTCAAGGCGCTCGCCTGCTGATGCGGACGCACAAGTCCTTTTGCATCCAGACCCCAGCATAGACTGACCTCCACGGCCGAGAAGGATTCACCAGGGTGATATCGTACTTGCGCAAGACCTGCCGAGAATTAGCAATGGACCAGCACATGAGGTCTGAGCTGAAAGACCTTACCTCCACAAAAATCTTATTGAGCTCCATCATAGCCACCGGTCTACCAGGGCAGGTATACTTCCCCGAGGCGAACACTTGACCGACAGTGCTGCGCATTCTCTTCTCCCTAGCCTTCTCAGCTTCGCCTTCCCCAAAACTCAACCATCTTTCAGGTCGGAATTCATCTGCATCGGCCCCGAAAATCTCTTTCGATCTCTGGATCCCCATAGTGGAGACCCCGATGCTAGAGTCTTCCGGAAGAAAGAAGCCATTGATTGTAGCACCTCCCTTGGGCACAATCTTCGACGCAAGGAGACCAATCGGTGGCCAGTAGCGGAGCCCTTCCTCAATGACTGCTTGGAGGTAAGGCAATCTCTTCGCCTCGGCATCAGTGACGGGCGAGGATAAATGGCTGACGTTATCGATTTCTTTGCGGAGCGTCGAATAAATGTGTGGGGAACTTATGATGTGGAGGAACGTCGCCCGAATTGTTGTTGCTGTGGTGTCGGATCCTGCCACACTATTCTGCGTATCAGAGCTTCTGTTATAGGTAGAACCCCGTCAAGGCAACGTACATCTGAACTAGAGTCTCTGAATTTGCTTCGTCTTGAGTCATGCCGTGCGCAATAAAACTGCCTAACATGTCCTTACGGATGATCTTTTTCGGACCAAAACGCTGGCTCACCACTTCTTTGGCAAATCTATGATTCGATTAGCTCACTTGACTTCATCTTGGAATCATCCTGGCAGTACTAGAGACGGAATTTTGCAACTTACCCCATAACCTTTCCCATCCCCGTCTTATCAGTATCCTTCGGGCCCATCATATGCAAGAATCTCGACTCCAGAATATCACACAGCCAAGGGTAAACCAAGATAATAGCAACCATGGGCATGAAGCTCTCCATCATATGGAGATATTGATAAACATCTGAGTCGGACTCCAGGTGCCCGAAATTGCTCCCAAAAGCAATAGACATGATGACATCCAAAGTGAAATACTGCGTTATACGTGCCAGGTCAACTGGCCTGTAGTCAGTCGATGTGGATAAGTATTTCCTCTCAATAAGGTCGATAAAAGTCTCTACGACTTTGTCAATTTGGCCCTCCAGGCCCTCGACGTCCTTGCCGTTATACTGCAAGCTCAAATTAGCAGGTTTTCTAAAGGCTGATGAAAGGGATGCTACCCCGGCAGTGGTCTTTGACTTCAAGACCTTATGAGCCTTTTCATCTCGCATAGACAGTATGTTATCACTACCCGGCCTGAAACGCGCAGCTTGGTAGTCAAGAGCCCTGATGAAGCCGGAACAAGGCTGGAGGACCCTAACCACGCTTTCGGGATTGGAGTTCACTACCGTATTGAGTCCTACACGTGCGAGAGAGCCTAATCTGAGTTAGCAAGAGTTCTTTTCATGGTGTCAAAGATATACTACCATATTTATCAGTGGCGTCTTTGATAGCCCACGGCAAAGTCCCTCGATATGCATGCCACACCAACCATAGGTTCGAGAACGAAGCCAAAGGCGGACCGGGGATGTGGCTCAAACGACTCCACGCGATGAAGCGTTGTGTGAGAGAGTACACAGATAGGCCGAGAAGGGCTACAAGCAGAAGTTGGACCGACACGCTCGTTTCCGCAGACTTGTAGCTTGGAAGGATCATGATGGGAACTGGAGTTGTAGAGCTTGAGATGTTGATTAGAATGGATAATCAGAAGCTAGAATTTGATCTGTTTTTAGTTTGACACCAATATTTAATTCTCCTTATCAAACTGTAGGCGAGGACGATGGGCAATATAGCTAAGCGGGAGACAGTTAAATTTCAGCGAATCAAGAAACTGTGAATACAGATCTATAACAGACGCTGTTGTGTACAAAATGCTTGAAGTGGGCTCATTTCCCTTGGTTCAACGTACGAAGTACGTCGTCAAGGACCATTTGTTGCGCCTCTTTGCTTCTCTTCCGAGAACGCAACAAGGTGTCAGATCAAAAGCCGGCTGCGCCCCCACGCTGACCCTCCACAACATCTCGAAAGCAGAAATAGCTCGGGCTTACTACCGAGGAGCATGCTTGGAGCTGTGATTATCGACATATGCTATCTAGATATCCAATATCCTCGGGCCCGTATCCGAAAGTTACGTGGCTGTATTATCAGGTACCAAATCTCTCGTTTAAATCTTTCAATTGCATCACCATTTACCGCCAAAGACACTGTCGGACAATATCCAGAGTCTGGGTCTTTCTGTTAGATCAGCTCACGTTCACCAGTCTACTAGTCAGATGTTTCGGGATCGGGCCCTTTCAGCATCGCCCTATCTAGTATTATTCTCGGCCGAGCTGCTATCCGAGCGAGTCCAAGCCCCAGGCCAGCACTCGCACCCTGCGGAGGTACATTCGTACTCATCACTGACTTCACCCTCATACATTCAAGCTGGCGCTGCGCTTACAGCGCCGTCGCCATTAATCCGCTTCAAGTTAATGTAGGTGCCTATTCAAATAAACAGCAGGGATATTTGACACATTACTCACTGCCATCAGGCTGTGTCTCTCGTGCAATCCCTACACTAGGCTTTCTTACTTCTCAGCCCCGAGCACTTCCGCAGCAGGTTCTCGGACGCAGTCCGAGCAGGGTAAGTTTGTATGTGAATTGTTGCATCCTAGGATAAGCCATAATAGCGACACATTCGTGTCTTGCAGCTTTCACATTTCGTAGCTCTAAACACCCTCCTATCAGGACGAAATGTTGTTCAAAGCAGCCATATCGGTGTTGCTTGTTTTCTCATTCTACCTGGTTCTTTTTGGGCAATTGATTTCTCAATCCTGTGAGGGAATTCGGGCCATTGCTAGCTCGTGTCAAAAATTGATATTGCTGGCGGATTCTGGGAGTATTAATGCCACCAAGAGCCAGATAACTCAATTTAAGGGTGAGTCTGGAGGAGTTTCCAAGGCGGCTTCATCATACAACAACCAGTCGCTAGTCAATAAACCTCCATTACCCAACAGCGACACATCAGCCATAATCTTACTCGCCAAACAAATCTCCGAACTATCGACGCAAATATCTTCCTGCTTCAATGCATCTACCCACCCGGAGCCCAACTTCAGCGCCTCTTCCGGAGACGTGCCCAAAACACCTGAATACGAATCCCTGCGAGCGAGCCTCAACGACACTGCTGTAGACTTGCTCCGTCTCGTCAATGGCCCGAAGAACACGATACGCACTTATGCCTTCTCCCATTATGACCTCGCGGTATTGCAGATTTCAGTTGAGCGAGGGTTTTTCAGAGATATTCCGTTGCAGGGAAGCATTGATGCGGGGATGCTTGCAGACAAAGCAAAAATGGATAAGGATCGAACGACAAGACTGCTGCGGTTTTTAGCTACGCGGCGGATATTTGAGGAAGTTGAAAGTGGGAGCGGTGTGTTTAGGCATACGGCTATGTCTATCGTTATGGCGAGGGACAGGGATTTTCATGCTATGGTACACATGCAGTAGGTCTATGTCGCTCAGAGAGAAGGAAATAATGCTGGATGACACCGAAGTCTAACGCCGAAGTTTCAATAGGATGGATGAGATGTTCAAAGCGGCGTCTGAGCTATCAACACAAATCGACCGTGCTCCATACGTCTCAGACAATGAGAACTCTGCGTTCTGTGCTAGGTTTGGGTTACCTGCATACGCATATTATGAGCAGAATCCACAAAAGGGAGCAAGATTTAAACAGTCAATGGATGCATGGTCGCAGTGTGAGTCCGTTCTCGCCAGTTGCTCCCTCTGCACCAACTTCTTCCAACTTCAGTGCTTGAACGAGTAGCAAGTTAACCACTGCGGTCTAGTGGATGGCCAGGTTACTAGGCTTGTGAGCGGTAGCTTCCCATGGGAATCGTTAAAAGCCGGCAAAATCGTTGACATTGGTGGTGGCTCAGGCCATATATCCATCGCCCTCGCTCGAGTACGTTGTCTACCTCTCCGTCTATGGTGCACTGGTAACCAGAAACGATGAGCGCACAGGAATATCCATCTCTCCGTTTTATCGTCCAAGACCTCTCAGAGCAAATGCTCTCCCAAACCAAAGAAGGTGTTTTGAGCCTAGGAGGTCGCGTAACCTTCCAGCGCCACAACTTCTTCGAGCCTCAGCCTGTTCATGACGCCAGTGCGTTTCTTCTTCGACAATGTCTACACAATTACAATGATCTTGATGCCGTCAAGATCACACGCGCAATTGTCCCGGCCCTGGAGAAATGTGTCCCAGGTACTCCGCTTTTGTTAAATGAGGTTATTCTACCGGAAAGTGGCTCGACGGCCCGTCATATAGAGCATCATCTGCGCCAGGTTGATGTGACGATGATGGTTGTTCTAGGCGCAAAGCAGAGATCGCGGAGTGAGTTTGAGAGGCTCTTGAAACAGGCGGATCCACGGTATGAAGTAAGTGATCCTACATATCTTATTTATTTCTGTTTCTTGGTACTGCACTTGCAGAATAATGACTAACAATAATCTCAGGTGGTGAGAACCTTTGATAATCCGATGGGAGTAGGCTTACTAGAAGTTCACCTCAAGGCCAGCTAGGTTGGAGGTTTCTGTCGAGGTTTAGACACCGTGAGAAGTCCACTTTCTTGACTGGATCTACCCTTCCCTGGTGTCTCCTTAGCCTAATTGCGCCTTGTTTCTAGTCCCAGTCTTGGACTAATAAGCGATTCTCGAATTCTTTGTGTGATTCATGAAATTAGCAGGGGTTTTCGGGGAACCACCTAGGAGAAAAACACGATTAAGCATTTCACTACAGTAAAGAAAGGGGTAGCTGGTTGTTATCGTTGCTGCTGGATCTTTCACTCCTTTTAGTTCATCCTCCTTGATTTCAGTTGACCCTCGGAGCTATGGGCCTGTAGTTGACTTCCCATAATCATGATGGCTTGATAAGGGGGAATGGCTGCTTTGAGATCGGGGAAATCATCGCGATCTTCGTCCCATCTAAGAAATGCATCAAAATCTGAGCTTTCCATAGTAATAATTGTGTAGGATAAGAGATAGGCGTAGTCAGCTGAATTTATATTCTTGTTCCTGCGCATCCTACCTGATAACCGGGATGTAATTGGTGCTCAGTATGCGGCGCAGCGCCTACGTCTAATCATTAATTTAGAAATTTTTGTTTTTAAAGTAAGATCGCGCTAGTGAAACGCCTCTTACCTTAGATTGTCTATTTTCTCTAAGCCGATCATGTCTATATTGTCATAAAGCCGCCCCGATAGCCGCCGAACAGTAACAGCCATGCCTTCAGATCGAACTCGCTGGCCACTTTTCTTCTTACTGCACCTGATTCGTCGCACAATCCAGGACAGGGTTAGGGGAGAATATGGCAGGTGTACGACCAAAGTAACCAGGGGGGCATATTGTGGATTTTCGTCCCATGGTAAGTTTGCATCGAACCTCCAGAAGCGTGTCTAGTTCTAAACGGTTGTATCTTCAATACTATTTTAAGCATCTGGTATTTAGCACCTGGTTCGCTACAAAACGAATTATTTACACGCTATTCATATCTGGATTAGCGTATCATCTGATTAGGGTTTGAAAGAGCATCTCTCTGTTCCTGACATGGAAGGCGAAAGCGGTTGCTCCTGTAGAACTCACCTACCGATGGTGTTATCCGGGGAAGCCAACCGAGAGAAAGGGTTATGGCGACCATATTCTTACATCAAATAAATTCTCCCAAGACAAAGAGATTCGGGCCATATGTCAAACGCGAACCTTGCTTGGGATGGGTAAGCTCGATCTATTATGGCAGAACACTTCGCCGTCGTGGTCTATTTCAGGTACAAGGATCCTATATTTCGCAACAGACCTAGGGATACTCCCCCGAGAGCGGATAAATATGATACATACAGTCCTACCCTAGAATAACTCATACATTATCTTAGATCTTGCCATATTTAGGCAGAGCCCATTTTAGCATCCATTCTAAATCGAGAATTTGCTTAGTAGTAGGGCGATTCTTAGGTCTAAATAAGAGCATCGGCCGTAGTATATCGAAGAAAGCTTTCCTCTCCCTTATATCAAACGGCGGTATATCACTATCTCGCCTAGGCTATTTAACGCTATCCTCAAACCGATCGTCCTAAGATCGGAAAGGGTTACGGTTCATTAGCTTACCATCCTTAGTAAATTTCAGTCGTCGCGCCTCCCACCTCCTCTACCATTCAAGTGGCAAAGTACTAAGAGCATCGATATACTCGTAGGTCATATCGTCCTCCGTCACGACTGGGGGGTGTGTCGAATACCAAGTCCGAATATATGGTAGAAACCAGGTAATATACCGGAAACATCATATGACATTGGGTACCAGGCATACCATACAAAAGTGCATATTATAGTTAGTCATCATAGTCCGCACAGATTGTTGAAAAAGCGGGTTTTGTCATTTTAGTTAGAGTTATCAACATTGGTCATCTATACCATACAATGTTCGTACGCCAGCTTTCTGTCAAGATATACTACTAGATAAGATTCTATTAGGATCGTATGGTTTTTAATAGGTAGTAGTAATTACTAGCTAAATATAGAATATATTATATTAGCACTAAGTAAGGGCTTGGCCTAACTAGAGAAAACCCCTTAAGTGCCTTAGTAATAGGCACTCGCTACTAATGACTTAGCCGAGTGCTAAG